TCCATACTTTATTTTTTTTGCCCAACTGAAAGTTCCAGCTTGCCCAGCCTGCCCTGTTGAGAAACAAAAACAGCTTGGCTGACTCTTCTCATCCCCTTCCAATGCCAAGTCTTGCTGTGGCCCAGCTTTTAACTTTGCAGTTAATAATATTAAGCTAAGTTTTAATAATGTTGTGCGAGGTTAACCATTGAAAGGAGTCTTTTAAAGATAGAGGTGCATCTTTTTAGCAGTCAAAATGCAGTCTCCTTTCCATTTTCTTGCAATAATAATCTCACCACATCCCTCTTTATAATAATAATAATAATAATAATAATAATTTAATTTGTACCCCGCCCTTCTCCTCACCGGACTCAGGGCGGCTCAAGTTGTTTTGCAAGTTGTTTTGCAACTTGATATTGACAATGTATTTCAAATGTTGAATTGGATCTTTTAATATGCTAATGCATGATGGTTGGAGCAGAAGGCTATTTCTTCTTTAAAGGTATTAACTCACTAGGGGTTGCCAGTGGAATGAACACGCCAGAGGCGAAGGCTGCTTCTTTATATTTTGGTGATATGCATATGTATATATGAAGCTTATAGTTGCCAGTCCAGTCAATTCAAATAAAGGGGACAGTATGTTTCATGTGCCCTCAGAAATGTCATTGGTACCATCTCTTCTTTTCCCCCTTTCCCAGTTGTGAATTCTAAACATTCCTGGATACCTCCATTTTGCCAGGAGGCATAGTCTGTTGTTCCAAGAGCACTAATCGAATAGGATATTAAAAGGTGGTCAAGAATGTGGCCAAACCAGAATAATGACTGTTAATCCAAAGCTCACTGGGAATCACACACGGCTTTTATCTCTGTTGACCTCTGTCCCCTTCCTGCTGCCCAAAGGGACCTCCTTGCAAATGGGGAGGAGGAGGGAAGGAAAGGGACTGAAATCTCATAGCAGAATCCCAGGCCATTCAGTGCATATACATTGTCTGATTTGCCAGAGAAAACTTCAGCAGGATTGGTGCCATGTAGGCATCCCAAGTTATCTGTCTTGCACACTTGGGCCCCTCCCTTTGCCCCAGCTGGGGCTTCCCCCTCCCTTAACAGCAGCTCCATGTGGAGCGCCTTACAGTGAGTTTATGACAACTCAATGCAGCTAGCTTGGCACGGCCAGCTGGGGACAGCCTTCTCACCATCACCAAGTCCCCTCTGCCAACACAGTGCTGCCATTTCTTCCCAGGACATGTCAATACCGGAAATTCGCTGCAGGGATAACTTGCTGTGGGCACCGGATGGAGAGCCGGGCGAGCGAGTGGATGAATGAGTGGGCTGTCAGAGGGGGACAGTGATGGGCGGGGTAGTACGCTTGCTCACCTACTCGCTTCCCCGGTTCTCCATCCAGTGCCCGCAGAGAGTTATCCCCGCAGTTAATTTCTGGTTTTGACATGTCCTGCGAGGAAATGGTGACACCAAGTTGGCAGAGGGGACTTGGTTGTGGTGAGAAGGCTGCCTCCATTCTGCCCTACAGCCGTATCCTGGATGGTTCCTGGAGAGGAGGTTCAATTCTGCTGTTCTTGATGTGCCAGTTCTTGGGAAAAGCCATGTCCTGCTTCTGCTGGCTGGCTCCTTATCTGGCCTCTGGATTGACTTTGGCAGCCGTTGGCCTTTCAGCACCTCGCCAAGATACCTTCTTCTTTGTGTGAATAGATGGTGAGCCACCTCCTTCCGCACCATCTGGATCATCTCCTTTCAGTGTTGCATCTAATCTGCATGGCGATTGGTTGGTGACTGGAAGCGTTTGTCCATTGCTCAGGAAGCATCCGGATGGTTCCAAGTTGCTGTATTGTCCTTTGCAAAAAAAAAAATAAAAAAAATTGCATTTCTGTCCTGAAAACAACAATGTAAAAACTGTGTAAAGAGTGAAGAATAACCATTCTGTTTAATTTCTAAAGGCAGTTATTTTATTGCTTTCAAATTGTGCCTTGACCACATTTTATAGTATGAGTTGACTTACATTACAGTGCTCATTTTAGCATTTCTTGATTATAGAGAGTTCTGTATTGTCTTTCCTTTTTTATTTTTTTCCCTTTGATACCAGTGGGAAAAGTGTAAACCATTCTTATTTTGGTCAGCACTTTGTGTTGCCTTTAACATGGGAATGAAGCCACCTGTAATCTAGTAAAGTTGAGGACTTGGCTGCACATTAGACAGCAATCAGGTAATTTGCACAGCAGAATGTAAGAACAAATCTTCCTTCAGGATCCAAGGCCTGTGCTTTCAGTTCTCAAGGGAGCAGAACTAGCTGTCTGTAGCCCAGACAGTCAATCTAGAGAGGTATGTTGCCGCCCTGGAACAAAAATCAAAGATGTGGCTGAGAACATAAACAAAATAATAAAACCCACAGATTACTACCCTTTTCTACTATTGCACATAGGGATCAATGACACAAAAATGAACCTGAAAACAATATGAGTGATTACGAGCAGCTAGGCAAGAAAGTTAAGGAGTTAGGTGCACAAGTAGTTTTTTCATCTGTACTTTCAACCAAAGGTCAACATCCAGTAAGAGAACAAAGGACTCTAGAAGTGAATCACTGGCTAAAGTTTGGTGTCACCAAGAGAACTTGGGATTCCTGGACCATGGTCTGCACTACCTCCATGATAGGCTTTTGGCAAGGGACGGGCTGCACCTCACAAAAACTGGGGAGAATGTTTTCAGAAAATGCCTGGCTCAACATACCGATAGAAGGATACACACTGTTAAAAAAACCAGACCCCATAAAAGAGGAGGTAGAGTTGCATTATATATAAAAGACCACTGTATTTCTACAGAAATGCATGAAACCAAAGACAAAAACCTAGAATGCATATGGGTCAATATAAAAGAAGAAAAGAATGACATTGCTATAGGAGTAGACTACAGGCCACCCAACCAAGCAGAAAAAATAGATATACTTTTTGCTAACCAATTAACAAACATATGTAGGAAACATACTACAATAGTAATGAGAAACTTTAATTACCCTGATATCAACTGGAAGTCTAATTCTGCACCAAGTGAGAAATCGAATAGATTCCTGACCAGCCTGGCTGACAACTTTGTTGTCCAAAGGTAGAGGAGGAAACTAGAGGGACAGCCATACTGTTCTCACGAACAGAGAAAAAGTGATAGAGGTAATTGAAACTGCAGGAACCTTGACATATTGGAATTCAATATAATGCAAACACAAGCAATAGAACATAATCATACCAGAGTCTTAGATTTTAAAAGAGCTGATTTTAACAAACTCAGAGAGAACTCTGGAAAGATTCCTTGGATGAAAATCCTAAAGGGGAAAACAACTCAAGAAGCTTGGTAAACTCTGAAAAATATGATTATAAAAGCCCAATCCAGCACAATACCATTGAAAAAGAAAAACAAGAAACCCAGGAAGAAACCAGCATGGTTGCTCAAAGATCTCTCTAATAAAGTGAAAGACAAAAAGTACAAAAAGTGGAAAGAAGGACACATAATTAAGGCAGAATATCAGCAGACAGCCCAAATCTGCAAGATGAAGTTAGGAAAGCAAAGACTCAGAATGAACAAAACCTTGCAACAAAAGTCAAAGATAATAAAAAAAAAGTTTCTTTCAACTTATAAATAACAAGAAAAAAGTTAAAAAAGTTAAAAAGTGAAGATGGCAAGGAAGTAACAGGCTTAGAGAGAAAGCAGAGCTCCTTAACTCATTCCTTGCAATGGTCTTCACTCAAAAAGAAACTATAGCTCAACCTACCAAAATGGAAAAGACATTAAAATAAGAAAATGATAAGAGAACACCTGTCTGGTCTTGATGAATATAAATCACTGGGACCTGACTGATCACATCCCAGAGTTCGAAAGGAGCTTGCAGATGTCATCTCGAACCATTATACCAGATCTTTCAAAAATCCTGGAGCACCGGGGAACTGCCAGAGGACTGGAAAAGAGCAATGTTCCTGCATGCTTTTTTATAGTAGTTCTGCCATTTTCACTTTTTTGACCTCCACCCTCACCCATGCATCTTTTACCCCTTCCCTGCAAGGCTGCTTTTGGCTTTCTGTGCTGACACAGCCACACTGGGCAAAGCCCTGTGGAGTTGCCTGGGGGAGGGAAGCTGGCTGGAGGATTGGCTGGTTTGCAGCGCAGGCCCCCCAGCTGCTGTGAACTTACTGGAGCCCAGCAGTGGTGTGTGTGTGTGTGTGCGTGCGCGTGCATGTGGGGAAATGCTCTGCCCCTTTGATGCAGCGGGCACTCTTGGCCACGGTAGAATGAGCCACAAGCGTCCACTCTGCTTCCGGGTTTTAGAATTTTAGCCAAAAAAGAGAAGCATTCCCAAAATGGATCCGGCATCTAAAAAAGAAAAATATGCTAGGACTTGTAAGGAAAATTCAGCATTTGAGTAGAAAGGTGAGATCTACGTAGTTAAGGAAATATCGGTAGCTGGTGATTTTTTTTTTAAACTTTAGCTGTTGAATGTCCTGTAGATAGTTCTATTTTTCCCTACCATTTTTTTTTCCAAATTATGATTTCTTATTCCTAGAAAAAGCCTCTTCTTGCAGTCATAGCTGTTGAGAATCTCCGGCTGGCAGCATGAGACACTTAGCAGCTGGTCTGGCAGTGATTCCTGTTAAAGGGCAAACTCTGTGTGGGAGACTTCTGGATTCGAAGCTTCTCTGGGCATGGCTGGTCAGTGCAGCTGCTGCTCCCACGAGGCCTCCCTGGCCAATGCCTGTCTGGGGAAAGAGGACAGCTCTCTTCATACAGTGTGGCCATTCCCCAGGCTGCCCCAGCTGAATCCCAGTTTGTATAGAGGGCATTTAGGACAGAGCTTGTTCCGTGCAAAATAACCCGGAAGGAAGGGAGTCCCCCATTGCTGCTGGTGTGTATTCCTGAATGCCATTTGGCCCTCTTGGAGCTGTGCCATGATGAACGTTTGAAGGGGTGGGGTGAGCCATAAGCCCCTTCCTCTTGCTCACGTGTTTATGTCTGGTTTTCATGAACAGGTTGTGAAAACAATCGGCCTGCGAGAAGTTTGGTTCTTTGGACTCCAGTACCAGGACACCAAGGGCTTCTCCACATGGTTGAAATTAAATAAAAAGGTATGGAGGTGTCTATCATTTTGTTTTCTGCTTCTGCATAAAAAAGAGAGATTGCTTTCTTGGGCAGAGATGAAACAGGTTTACCCTTCAGTCTTTGTTCTTCAGGGCTCTGATCTTTGAATGAGAGTCCCAGGCGATGCTCCTGTATTCTCTGAGGCATTTGAATCTGGAGCACCTTCCTAGCTTTCCTTCCCCCTGGCAGGCTGCTCGGTTGCAAGTGGCATTGACAGTCTCCTGCTTTGTCCATCTGAGCACCTCCTAGATGTGGAACATTCAGCACCCAACCTTCTCAGAAGTGGCCGTTCCTGAATTCTGCAAGTTGGAAGGCTGCTATGTTGGGCAAGGCTGGGCTAGAAATACTAGGTTAGTCAACCCAGTGGGATAGATTAAAAAACTGTCCTTGGATTTATGGCCGGCACTCCAATGTGGGCCCCATGACTAGGGCTCATGGGTAGTGGAGTTAAAGGGCTTTCTGGCTTAGTTGTCCCAAAGGTGCTTTTTCAAAAGGCAACTGGATTTTCTTTGTTTTTCCTTGAAGACGTTTCGCTTCTCACCCAAGAGGCTTCTTCAGTTCTGATTGAATGTTGGAGAATGGAAGGATTTATATTCCTTATATTCCAGATGACTGTAAGGAATATAAACCCTTCCTTTATCCACCATTCAGTCAGAGCTGAAGAAGCTTCCTGGGTGAGAAGCGAAACGTCTTCAAGGAAAACAAAGAAAGTCCAGTTGCCTTTCGAAAAAGCACTTTGGGGGCAACTGTGACCTGGAGGACGGAGAACCTCCACAAACGTTCCGGCTTAGTGCCTGTCCCAAGACTTCTCAGTTGAGAGGATTCTGGATGTGTTTTCTCATCCTGATTTTGCCACAATGTGCTGCAGGTTACCGCTCAGGACGTGCGCAAAGAGAGCCCGTTGCTTTTCAAATTCCGGGCCAAATTCTACCCAGAGGATGTTGCAGAGGAGCTGATACAAGACATTACGCAGCGCCTGTTCTTCCTCCAAGTGAAGGAGGCCATCTTGAACGATGACATCTACTGTCCCCCGGAGACGGCGGTTCTCCTGGCCTCTTATGCAGTCCAGTCCAAATACGGGGACTTCAGCAAGGAGGCTCATAAGCCCGGCTATCTGACGACTGACAAACTGCTCCCTCAAAGGTAGAGCGAAATCTGGCGAAGTTGCTGGCCCCCCTGCAAATGCACAGCCACTATTTTAGTATATCCCACTTTTCAGTTGCACACTTTTGACGTTACTCCAGGATGGATAAGCCTCGCCCTCTCTGTTTGGAGTCAGTTGGGCCACACATTGCGCTCCACTGTGGTTTGCTAAATAAATCACAATTGAGTGAATTCCCATGTGGTGTTAAGACACAAATAAAGTTGTGCTGAGCACAGTGTGTGAATTCAGCCCAAATACCTTTAGTGTGTGTTTTTCATTTATTTCTTTTCCTTAGTAAAATGACATTTAGATCTCAAACTAGTGTTGCTTTAAGAGTCGGGAAAGAGACATTCTGAAAAAGTGGGAAACAATGTGAGAAGGAGAAACCCTTGGGAAGCAATGACCTGAGAGATGAGATTTTTAAAAGCAACAGAGAGAGATTCAAGCCATGGAGAGGGTTCATAAACCATTACAGTGTCATTTGCAGCCCACCTTCATATCACTTCTCTTCCACTAAGTGGAAACCTTGGAGACTGTTTTAAGAAATGGCCATGTTTGAACTTCATGTGGCTAAAGAATTTGTTTTTGCAGAACTGTCCATACATCATAATATGTCTTCCATTTCTTTGCTCTATAGAGTTTTGGAACAGCATAAACTTAACAAGGATCAGTGGGAAGAAAGAATCCAGGTGTGGCATGAGGAACATCGGGGGATGCTCAGGTACAGCTGGGAAGAACAGAAGATCCTTTTATGGCTCAAAAGAGTATTATTTATGACTTTTACAAGTCCCCTTGTAAGGTATTCTACTTGCAGGGGCATCTGCAAGGTATAATAAAGTCTAATGATGCACATAAAAAGAGTTGGAGCTTTAACCACATAGTTGCAAACCTCATCTTGACTTTCTTTTACCACAGCCTACGGACACCCATCTACTCTTAAGACAGATGGGAAGATTGATAAAAGTGTCTGTGTCTGCATGTCATGGCTGATCTAGTCGGTTATTACTCTAAAGCAGATAACTCTATGCACTAAAAGTCACAATGCTGCAATCAAATGGGCAGTGCCCTCTCTTGGATGCAGTGCCAACCATTGCAAAAAAGAGGATGCTTTTGAGAATGCTCCACCAAAGCATAGCTTTTAAAGTTAACATCAGTTTTGTTTTCTTGGTCCTTTCAGAGAAGATGCCATCTTAGAATACCTGAAAATTGCACAAGATCTGGAGATGTATGGTGTGAACTACTTCAGTATTAAGAACAAGAAAGGCTCAGAACTCTGGTTGGGAGTAGATGCTCTTGGACTCAACATTTATGAACAGACCGACCGGTAACAAAACTATTCTCCTTAATCTTCCGATAGAGTGTATGGTCTGTCTGTCTGTCTGTCTGTCTGTCTGTCTGTCTGTCTGTCTGTCTGTCTGTCTGTCTGTCTGTCTGTCTGTCTGTCTGTCTGTCTGTCTGTCTGTCTGTCTGACAGAGAGTAATTGAGAGATGGAAGGGTTTGTAAGAGCAGGACACATCTGGATCTGACCAACTCTCCACAGATGTTGACAGCCACCTTCTCCTTTGATCAACTAGATACTGCTACATTCTTCAGAATATTGTCTGCAAGCAATTCTCTTTTCATTTTTATCTTACGAGGTTTTGGCATTGTTACTGATAATAGGTTGTTCTATTGACTCTATCTAGCCCTGTCTTAGCCAGAGTGACTCTCTGTGCTGGCATTGGTTTCTTATTAGCTGTTTCTAGTTGTCACACAATTCTGTGAATCTACTAACAGATTTTTACTGGAATCGTTCATTCATTCATTCAAATTATATAGCTGCCCAACCTAACCAAGTGACTCTGGGTAGCTTATAATTCTAAAATTATAAAATAATTAAAACAATTTAAAAACATTAAAACAATAAAAACAGATGTAACTTGCTATCTAATCCCAACATAATTATTTCCCAGAAATTAAATTACTTCTTAGGCTCAGAGGGATTTTGTGATTCATTTTGCTCTCATACTTGTAGTCCTTGAAACAGAAGTGAAAAATTTCCTCAGATTAAATAAGGGTGGGGGTTTTTTTGCTTCATGTTATATGAAGCTAAACTAACTGCTTGAATTGTCTCTGTATGGTCTTTAGGCTGCAAGAATTGTTCTGGGCAATCTTAATTTCATATAACAAAACACTTTTGATATACATAGATTTTAATCACTAGGAAAAGTTACTCTTCTAGCACATATTTGTGCGGATGATTCTTGTCTTGTTAGATGACACCTAACCTAATGTAGAAAGCACAGTTTTAAGTAAATGCCACGTGAGGATGCCTTCCCTGGCCTTTGTGGGGTAGGGGGTGCTGCACAATTTGCACCAAAACAGAGGTGAGGGAGCGTATAAGGTGGCATTTTAAATTGGGCATTTCCCCCTTACTCACCATCTCTGCCCTTTTGGGGTTCAAGGCTGGATTTGTAGGCATCTGTAGGGAGGATAAGAGACAATACAGGTAATCCTTGATTTGCAACCATTCGTTTACCAACTATTTGAAGATACTGACAAAAGGGACTTATGACCAGTCCACCCACTTCCAGCCCTTGCAGCCTCCCCGTGGGAAAAATATCAGACTTGTGGCCCTTGACCACCAGCATGGGTTTACGACCGTTGCAGCAGCATCCTGGGGTCACGTGATCACCACTTGGGACCTTCTCCACTGGCTTCTAGTAAGGAAGGTCAATGGGGAAGCTGGATTCACTTAACAACCTCACAATTCATTTAATAACTGCAGCGGTCCTCTTAACAACTGTGGCAAAATCGAACGCAGTTCACTTAACAACCACCTTGCATAGCAACAGAAACTCGGGCCCTGATTATGCTTGTAGGTTGAGGACTGCCTGTGCGCACAACATGAGGCCGTCCCACAAACGAGGCCGGTTGACATGACTCAGGGCTTGGGCTGCCTAGGATGGCCCTCCAGAGTTTTGATAGGTCGTTCATTTCATAGATCTGTTTAGTTACATAGGTTGGTGAATTTGGAATTTCCACTTAGCGTTTGCTAAATCCAAACACTTTCATTGGTGGGAAATGTATAGTGGGTGTGACCAAAAACAGGTATTTGGAGTGCTGCAACTGTTCACTGAGGTTTAATTTTGAAATTACAAATCATCTTTCACAGGTTAACACCCAAAATTGGTTTCCCCTGGAGTGAGATCAGAAACATTTCCTTCAATGATAAGAAGTTTGTCATCAAGCCCATTGACAAGAAAGCCCCAGTAAGTTACCCTTTACAACTTAACTGTTTTAGTGTATTAATTTATTCAGAGATTAATATAATAAAAAACAAATGGAAAATTCAGATCCTTGCAGCAGATTTTGTCTCTGAATTTGAGTTTCTTTATTGCGGTCACCAACCAGAAATAAGCACCAAGAACAGCAGGGCTGCATCAGCAAATCATTCAGGCTGGCCAAAGGAATAAAACAATAAAACACAAAGCCAATTGACAGTAAAGATAATAAAAATTAACTGTTGGCAGGGTTTTGCAGGCAATAAAAGAGACTATAAAGATATGGATCTGCCTGGGCAGGAAGTCATGTAAATAGAATTTAGAATGAGTGGAGAAGAGCGAACCAGCCTTTGGTGGCTCCAGCTGCACTCGGGCAAGGCCAAACTGTGCGCAGGGTTATCATACAGATCCCTTCTTAAACAAACATGGGCAGCCACTGCATCAAGCTAATGATAAGATCTTCTAAATTTGATGTTTATATCTTGGTAATCTAAGGAAATGGACAGTTAAGAAATACAAAATACATTTATTTATTTATTGAATTTATTTACTGCCCATCTTGTAGTGAATGACTCTGGGCGGTTTCCAGATACATACATACATACATGCATCCCTGTCAAGTTGGCTTTGTAAAAAGACCTCTTGAGAAGGGATGGTTGCTGGAATTGTTGTTCCAGGACCAAGACTGCTAACACGGCCTGGTCAAAACCCATGACTGGTGATTTTGTTCCTTTTCATTTTTGATTTTGGGTGGCAGAGACACAGCAGGGCATATAATGTTTTACACATTATCCTAAGCCAAGGTTTGTTTAGTCATCATTAATGGCTGAGCCCCACAGATCACCCTGAGCGCCCAGCCTCTGTTCTGCTGACTCAATGGCTGGGCTCCCCTAGGATTGCAGAAATGGCTTCAGCCCAGATGTCAACTCCCAAAACTTTGCAGTTGTTACCAAATTATACATTTTAATGTGTCTCAGGATAGAAACAACTTGTGTTAAATATATTTAATTTCAGTTAAATAGGTAAAAGTTAGAAAGGTACCTAATTTTGTCCTGGCCCCTTCCCTGCTGCTGAGCATGGCCTGGGCACTTCGCTTGAGACACGTTTGCTTACAGCTCTCACCCTGCCAGATCTCATAGCTGTCCTCATTGCCCTTCTCCTGCAGGAGCTTTGTGGTTGAGGGGGCTGAACGGGGCAGCTCAATAGAATAGAACGGCTGAGCTGGACACCTAATTTCTGCCTGGAGAGCATAGACCAGAGACTCCAGATCAGCAATCTGTCCATGCAGACTAACAATTTGCTTACAAATAGGACCGTACCCAAATTTAAAAAGAGTGCCATGAAAGACATCTGCAAAACAAATATTGCATGGAACAAAGCCAGACATTCTAAAATAAAATTGTAATCCCAGAAGCACTTATTAAGGATGAATTACTGCTGTTTTAGATTTTCAGTTATTGCCTGGGCTGCTACTTTAATCCACTGGACTTTCTCTCAGTCCTCCTCACAGTGAGCAGCTGTTCCCAGCAGTGTCTGGTGTTATGCAAATACAGTGCAGATGCAACCAGCGACTCATGCTGAAAGACCCTCCAAATCCGAGTCCTGGATGGGTGAAAATCCCTCTTCCTCATTCTTTGTGCCTACCCAGGATGTCCCAGCAGTGGGGGTGTGCACCAGGTCTCCTCCACTCAACACTGTCCTCTTGTGGGACTGAGGAAGCAAGCTTTCTCTGCTGCGGCCCTCGCTCTCTGGACCGGACCTCCCCACCTCAAGACAAAGAGGGCGCCTGGGGTCCTGGAAGGCCTGGGGTCCTGGCCTGGAGCTGATGTTTATAATTTGCTCAAAGGCCCAAAAACAATGTTGTTGTTTTTTCCATCTACTGGATTATTTTAGTCTGATCTGACTCTGTGATTTAATATATTTAGCTGTTTGACGTTTTTCCTGGTTTTATACACCTCCCCCCACTTTAGTTGGGTGATCAATAAATATCATTTAACTAATTTTAATTTCTGTCAGAAAAAGCTTGCCCCGGTGCTGCTCCGGGGGCAGGGTAACACTCTGCTTGCCCTGAGACCCTCCTTTGCTGACTAAGTTCAGTTCAGTTACTGATGTGGTCAGAGTTTGATCATGAATTGCTGTACTGGACATATTTTTTTAGCTTTACTTTTATGTTTTCTATTTGACACCCAGAAGTTCAAAAGTGTAGCATCCTTCCAACAGGAGCACAGACAGGCTTCTCCTCTTCTTGCAGATTTATATTTCTAGCAGATTTAGTAAGCTTTTGGACAAGGGTGTGCATGGAATGCAACATTTGTTTTGTTCCAAAAGTTCTTCTGAGCACTTCCAGGTTGCAGTTGTTGTTGTGCGTGTTGTTGTCCCTGGGGATTCCAGGGTGATTCTGTGAGGCCGGTGTGTTGCTCCCTTGGCCACTGCTGGCATTTCCCCCTCCCGCCTGCTCTTCACAACACCCCCTCCTTCTACCAGGCCTTGTGTGTTGCTGACCAAAACATGCCTGTTTCAGAATTGGCACAAGCTACCCAAAGCCACCTGTCCCATGCCCCAAGACTTGCACACACCCTGGGCTCGCCTGGCTGTCTTGTGGGTTATTAGAAGGGATGCAGCCCAGGAAAACATTTTTGCAGGCATTTGGGGAAGGTGATCCTCTGGAAGGATTAATAAATTGAGTCATTTGTGTACATTTACATCATGTGCACATGTGTGGGATTGTGGAAATTCCGTGAATGTACACACATGATACAAAATAACATATATGATGATGCCAGTGATGTAATTAAAAAGACAAACCACAATTTTACACATGCACAAAGGTTGTGTGGAACCCATAGAATCACATGGACTGAAATCCAGATCCAGGTTCCATCTGCAATTCTAAATAGAGGTCCTTTAAATCAAGATTTTACTGTATACTAGACAGCCCATCACCCATTGGGTCATTGTTTCAGTTGGTTCATCATTTCAGAGATATTTACTTACCTAAACAGATGAACATAATGACCCAATGGGTGAGCAAAAAGCTGTGGGAGCAGGAGCCATTTCCAATTTCCTGCTGGCTTCCCCACTGACTTTTCTTGTTGGAAGCTGTCAAGGAGGGGAAGTTGCAAGTTCCTCAGATATGTCTCCCCCACCCATGCACTTTTGCTCTTGTGTCGAGCTAACTACCACCACCCCACACACACCCTCTCCGATCTGTGCTGCATCCTTGTGTGGCATCCTTGACCATTGCTTGCCTCTCACATACCCATTTGCTGCCTCCCCAATCTGGCAGCAGCCACTTACCTGCCTTGCAACTGGCTTCTCTAGTGACTTTGCTTGTGGGAAGCTGGGAGGGAGTGTTGGAAATGATGATCATGTCACTGCAGCTGACCATGGTAAATTTCAAATCCCATGGGAGTCATGGGTCTCAGATTTTGGATGCATTCTGTAAGTTAACCCATTTGAGATACCTTGCTGTAAAAATTGTTGACTTATGGTGAAACAGATACAAGAATTTTAATAGTATATAGATGCTTACAAAAAGAAATCCTTGTTTGGATATATGCTTAATTTCCTAAAAATTACAGCCAGTGTAATCAAATTGTGTTGTTACTTCTGGAGAAAAAGAGGGCCGAAGGAAAGCTGCGTTCAAGGCTAACCCTGTCTCTTCTCCTTTGCAAAGGATTTTGTCTTCTACGCCCCCCGTCTAAGGATTAACAAGCGTGTTCTGGCTCTGTGCATGGGAAACCATGAGCTCTACATGCGCAGGCGTAAGCCAGACACAATCGAGGTGCAGCAGATGAAGGCCCAGGCCCGAGAGGAGAAGCATCAGAAGCAGATGGAGAGGTGAGCTGATCGAGCACAGGGGCCTCTTAAGCTACCCTCTGGTCTGGCTGGGTCTCTATGGCCGGGGATTCTCCCAGCAGGAGGCGGGTTGGGGTGCAGAGTCTTCTCATGGGAGAATCCTGTAACTGGGATGTGATCAGAAGAGCCAGACTCCCAAGTGACACATAGATGAGTTGTGGCATGGGTGGAGGAATTAGCACTTGTCTTGCAGATCTTGCAAGGAGAGCAGTAGCTAACTCAGTGGTTCTCAACCTGTGGGTCGGGACCCCATTTGGGGTCGATCGACCATTTCATGGGGGTCGCCAAGCAAGGCTGTCCGCCATTTTTTTTGTCCGCCATTTTTTCCCCTTTTCCAGCGGGTGCCTTACCTCCCTTGGGCTGGGCCAGCTGGTGGTTGGCCTGCTCCGTCTCTGCCACTTGCCAGCTACGCCTCGGCCGGCGCAGGGGGCGGAACCACGCATGCGCGGCGCTCCCAGGCAGGGAAAGTCCTCGACTTACGACCGGTTGGGTAGTCCTCGACTTACGACGGGTTTAGTCCTCGACTTACGACCGGTTGGGGTCGCGGCATTAAAAAGGTTGAGAACCACTGAGCTAACTCTTTGAATACAGGGTCCAAAGGATGATAACAATGAAGACAGATGTGGAAGAGGATGTTTTTTATGGGGGAGGGGCATTTCAAGAATTCTTATTTCATAAGGGGGGGAGTCAAAGGCTCTTTTTTTATAACAAATTTTATTAATTTTTCAATTTTACATCCAAATATTTAGGAAGCAGCGTGGTGATTGGGTAATCAATAGCCCAGTAACAAAATCTTTCGTACATATCTCAGGTTGCGTCATTAAAAGTTCCCTCTCTATTTCCCTTAATTATTATATCACATTCAAGTTAATACGTTTCTAATTATAGCTCAATCAATCAATACATTTGTCAATATAATTTTACTTATACATTTCCAAGTCCTGTTTTTAAGTTTTACCTAATTTCAATTACCGTGTTCCAATTTAGCCTTTAAAATCCATAGTATTTAGACTTCAGATAACCCAAGTTTTCCTAATTACATTACAAAATAGTTATCGTATCTAAAATACACATATTATTCAGTTAATTACATTCTTACTTTATGTCACAAGTACCGGTATATTCTATTTCTCATCCTAGTACCTCATCATTTACTAATAAAATATCTTTTATTGTCACAAACCAACTTCCATATTACAATTCAAAACGATAATCTAATGGCTAATTTTCATTTCCCTTATAAATCTAAGTCCTTAATATTAAGTCAATCAATATCTTTAAATTCTCCTTAGCCCATTAGGTAAGATTTTAAGCTCTTCCATTATCAGTCCACAAAAAAAAAGAGAAAGAGAAGGGGAGTCCCATTTTTAAATCTAACTCTAGCTTTCTTTTTTGTTCCAAACAGGCTTCCATAACAGTGCCTTTAAATCCTCAGATGAATCTCCCTTCATTCCTACACATGTTATTTAAATCAATGGAGAGCATCCAGTTATCTATTTTTCAAAGGAACTGGCCCCTTTGTGATCATTAGATTGTTGCCCTAATAGTCCAAATCTCCATGTTTGATTTAAAATATTTGTCGTCAGTTCAGTCTGGTCTTCTTCTTCCAGTTTCATCTGGCTAAAATAAGAGGTCATATCCAGTGTTGTAGTTGTTGTTTGATTGTCTAGGTTTTCAATATGTTGTGTTTGTTGATCTTTAGCATCCTCCATCTCAGTGTTGCTTTCTTCAGTTTCTGTTGCCTTTTGAGTTGCAGGTTCTTTAATTGAAATCAAGGTTTGACTGTCCAAGTTCTCAGTAAATTGTATTTCTTGTTGTGTAGAATCCTCTTTGATATTAATTTGTTCCCCTTCTGTTGTTTTTTGGATTGTAAGTTCATTAGTTGGAATCTGGGCTTTTATCCAATTAATTTTTTTTCTTTTTTCCCCCAACTTAACAAATAGATAAGGTAATAGGTCTCTGTAACAATAGGAACTTTTTGGGACCCCAAATATCCAAAAAGTACAAGTCCAGTTATTTAGTTGTTTCGATTAGTTGTTCTTTTCTTTTTTTTTCAAAGCTTTAGTTTCCCAGGGTAGGCAGACACTGCTATGTTAAAAGCGGGGAAGAAATTTCAGGTGGCTTTTACAGGAAGGTAGTTGGGATACAAGAAAGGTAAGGTAAGGTCTCACCCAATTCCTCCGCAGTGCTTTCATTCTGCTTGGTGGTGATTTTGGCTTTCGGCTGGCACGGCTTAGTGATCAGCCATATTAATGACCGATCTTTTCTCCGACGGTCCAAAGGATCAAACGGAAGGGCTGCTGCCCTTCCGTGATCTGTCGAGGGTCCTCCTCATGGTCGTCGCCCCTCCAGGGCAACTTACGACCCTTTTCAGGGTCGTCCAACGAAAGGAAACCAGGCGGCGGAGAGAGCGCTCTCCTGTACGTCCGCCAGCACCGCGATCCGGAACCAGAAGCCGAGTCAAAGGCTCTCTGAGGTGTATTTGAACAAAATCTTGGCATAAAGGCAGCCTGCACTCTATTGTATACTGGAATAATTCTGCATAAAAGCACATTTTGGCATCTTAGGGATGTCAAGCAATAAAGTTGCTCTTTGCTCCTCCCCTCCCTTGAAGTCTAAGGCTGCTGTGACCAAGGCAAGGTGGGCTGTCTTCCTTCCCACAGGATACCTTGGAAATGGCAGGATCTCACAGAAGATTGAGGGACTCTTGGGAGCTCCCGATGAAGCTTAAAGGCAGGGGTCCCCAACCTTTTTGGTTTTGTGGACCTGCGGCGGCAGCAGTTTCAGTGGTTTTGGCAGGGGGGGGGAATGGTTTCACACTGGCAACCTAAATCCTGTGCATGTGGAAATGAAGCTTGGCACGTTCACCCGCTGCTTTGGTGGCCCGATTCCCAACAGGCCACAGGCCAGTAATGGGCCGTGGCCTGGAGGTTGGGGACCACTGTTTAAAGGGACTCAACAAAGGCAGGAGAATCCCTGATGCCATTCCATTGCCTGGAAGGGTTCTCCTGGACCTCTAAGCAGGTTCCTTCAGTTTTTAAAAATGTGGAAAACCTGTTGAGGCAACCCAGAGAAACATGGTAGATTTTGAATTGAAAGTGTACAATCCCAAGGAGAGATCAGTTTTCCAAGCCATATTTTAATTTGCAGTTGGATTAAATTAGGTAGAAATTGCACACTGAAAGCTCTAAAGACTTCTCTAAGGCTTAGCAGCCCATTTTTTATATATATATATATAAAAGAGGCATTGAAATTGCTGTATGTTTTCTTTCTTCTCAGGGCTTTGCTGGAGAACGAGAAGAAGAAAAGGGAGATGGCCGAGAAGGAAAAGGAAAAGATTGAACGTGAGAAAGAAGAGCTGATGGAGAAGCTCCGACAAATTGAGGAGCAAACTAAGAAAGCTCAGCAAGGTGGGAAGGAGGGCTTGCCTCAGGAGGGGCCCCAGGAGAGGAGGGCTGTCTTCTCAAACAGCGGGGAGAAGGGCTGACGCTCTCGGCCTCTTTCCCCCAGAGCTGGAGGAGCAAACGCACAGGGCGCTGGAGCTGGAGCAGGAAAGGAAGCGAGCTCAAGAGGAGGCTGAGAAGCTGGCCAGGGAGCGGCAGGACGCCGAGGAAGCCAAGGAAGCTTTGTTGAAAGCCTCCAATGATCAGAGGGAGACCCAGGAGCAGCTGGTAGGTTGCCTGGGGAAAGCTCAGCCGCTGTCTTGGGCAGCCCCAGGCCTCTGGCAGTGCTTCCAAGCTGCCCAAAGGCCAGAGAAGCCTCGTTGGTGGAGGGGCCTGCCTTGGGTGGTGGACAATGGGAAGGCCAGCTCTGCAGCCAAGGTGGCCGGAGGGGAGATGCTGCTGTGCTTCGCAGGACAGGGAGGAGGACAGCCCAATGGACTCGAGCAGAGGTGTGCAACATCCTTGAAAGTCTGGAAAGCACCCCCAACACCTCTCACAAAGTTGCCATTGTAGTAGAACTCTCAGCATCAGGCAAAGGAAAAAGGATTCCTCCTGTCCATTTTATCATACATTAATGATATTGCCACTAATTTATTTCACTGAATTTAATTTTAAATGCGCTTTCATCCAAGCCCCCAACCAACTTTCAAAGGGTAGCCCCCGACATGCCTTCCAAAGATGCCCAAGAGAAGTTGTACTTCCTGGTGTGGGGCAGGCAAGGACACCCTCCCCCGAAAGCAGCTCCCTGCTGCGAGTCACAAAAAGTGCAGAAGGCCCCCTTTTCCTATTGGATCAGCTCAGGCTTCCTGAGTTGGACTCCATCTCCTGCCAAGGGCTGCAGCTGATTAACAGAAAAACAATAACAGAATAACAGAGTTGGAAGGGACCTTGGAGGTTTTCTAGACAAACCCTCTGCTCAGGCAGGAGACTATATGATTCTGAATAAATGGCTGTCTCATCTCTTTTTGAAAATCTCCAGCGATGGAGCACCCCCAACCTCTGGAGGCAAGCCGTTCTACTGATTAATTGTTCCCACTGATAGGAAATTTCTCCTTAATTCTAAGTTTGATCTCTTAATAATCTTCCACTCTTACTTCTTGTCCTGCCCTCAGATGCTTTGGAGAATAGGTTGATCTCTCTTCTCTGTGACAGAGTCTCAAATGTTGGAAGACTGCTTTCACGTCTTAATTCTTCTCTTTGTTAAACATTCCCAATTCCCACAAGCATTCATCATATATTTTATCCTCCAATCCTCTAATCATCTTTGTTGTTCTTTTCTGGATTGTTTCTAGAGTCTCAATTTCTTTTTTGTATTGTGGAGGCCAAACCTGGATTCAGTATTCCAAGAGTGGTCTCACCAGTGTGGTATAAAGCGATAATAAGATGTGTGATCTTGATGCTATCCTTTTATTGATGCAGCTCAGGACTGCATTGGCTTTTTTGTCAGCTGTAGCACACTGCAGGCTCATACTTAAGTGATTGTCCACCAGAAGTCCCAGATCCCTCTCACACTTACTGCTGTTGAGCCAGGTACCACCTGTTCTATATGTGCATTTGTTTTTTCTTGCCTAAGTGTAAAACCTTAACTTTTCTCACCATTGAATTTCATTTTGTTAGATAGGGGTCAGTGTTCAAGTCTGTTAAGATCCTTCTGGATCTTCAGCCTAACTTCTAAAGTGTTGGCTATTCCACCTAGCTTGCTGTCATCTGCAAATGTGATGAATTCCTCTTCTATGCCCTCATCTAAATCATTTATGAAGATATTGAAGAGTCCTGGGCCTAAAATGGAACCTTGGGATACCCCAGTACATATTTCCCTCCCTGTCAATGTAGCTCCATTGAGGACTACACGTTGACTGTGGTTGGCAGGTCAGTTACAAATCCATCTGGTGGCAATGCTGTCTATCCCACATTTTTCTACCTTACCAAGAAGGTGGTTGTAGTCTACTTTGTCAAATGATTGTCAGGCCCCTTCCTCTCGAGGCTCTGGGGTGAGACTCTTGTCCAGGCTGCCTTTGGCCCATGGCACACTGCTCTTGCAGACATACGTGCTCTTTCCTTGGGAGTGAAACCACACTATTAAATACTATTAACACTATTAAGAAATGAAGTGTGTTTCCTCTCTTCACAGGCAAAGCAGAACTCCAACCTCAGAGAATAGCGCAGATTGTGAACCTTTCCAGGATCGCTTTTCTCAGGGATTCTTCAGAAGCCTTGTTTTGTAAGAGGGGCTAAAGCGACAATAGTCTTTTTCAGCCTGCCCCCTCCCCAAATCCAACCAGTTCCCACCCCCACGTATTTGGACAGTGCCATGCTAAGATCCCCTTCCCTCTGTCTCTCCCACTCCTGCCCTTCCTCTCCACTTTGGCCCTCTTGTAGACTTATAAGGCAGGTCTATTTGGGGGTTAGATCTTTGCAGCTGAGCAAACACAGAAGGAGCTTTGGAAGTAAGAGCAGGGAAAGGAAATGAAGGAAATCGTCTTTTTTTCACAGCTCACTGCCAGCAGCTGTGATTTAGCAGCTAATCTGGATGATATTAAAATGGGAGTGGACAGATTCATGAAAGGTCAGGCTCTCCATGCCTGCAAATATGGAGGGCTCTGACATGGCCCAGAATCATGTCCTGGAACTACTGATAGTCGAGAAGCCACCCCAAAGGACTTGGGGTCCTTCCAGACACAGCTGGTGACCTCGGAGGCTGGAGTAGGTGGCCTTGGCCCTGAGGCTGCCGGGCTCCTCCTGCCATCTTTCTCAGCTACAGGCTTTTGACTGGGGATGCTGTGTTCACCTTGCAGACCACCGAGATGTTGGAGCTCACCACCCGGATCTCACAGCTGGAAATTGCGCAACAGAAGAAAGAGAGCGAGGCGATGCTGTGGCAGCAGAAAGTGAGTGCCCATTGCTCTCCTCCCCTCTGCCCACTTTGCCTGCCCAGATGCCTGCTGGGATTGGTGAAGAGAGGGGGCTGGGGAACTGGAATAACTTTCAAAGAATGCCCGTTTTTGTTCCAGAGAAGTGGGAAAGCCCAAGCCCGTTTCTAAGAAGTGTCCAGCCAATCTACGCTGTTGCTGGCAGTTTGTGCACACAAATACGTACAGACATAACTCCTTGTTCTCCAAACTCTGCTCTTTCTCCTCCATGCGTGCTGCTTTGGCTCATTTTGCAGGAGACTCACTCGTCCTTCTGTGGTGAGGAGCACAAGGGCTCTCTGCAAGTTTCAAAGGCCCATGGAGGCCTGTGGGCCCCAGGGAACTTAACTCGCTTATCCACATAGAATAGTCAGAAATTGCCTCTCAAAGCAAAATAAAAATGGCTGTATACAATTTGTACAAACATTTTGGCTTGCCTATTTTGGACACTGGAAAATAACCTAAAAAAATCCTGTCATCATCCAGAAGGCAAAATGCATGAAAAACTCCCAGCAGACGGGGGGCCAGCAGAAGGCTGATTGGAGAGGCGGTGGGTGCTCATTCACCAGGCATCTTCAAGTCATTCTGGGATGCTGGAATTTGGATTCCTGCTCTGGGCGAGGCAGAAGCTAGGACCCCCCGTGGCCCCTCCCAATCTTAGTAGCCTGTGATGATGACAAACACACATATCTCTTTTTACCTGGCAGTGTTGTTTTATTTCTAATTGCCAGGAATACTGTGTTCCAATTTAATTTGATTTTAAAATTCTTAGTAATTTCTACACTTAGCCATTTTTTTAGAATTTGTAATAACCTGAAATCAGGCAGAGAAATTTGGCTCTTGGTGAATGAGAATGTAAATAATGAAAAACATTTGACATCAGTCCACGTTGTTATAGATGCCTAAGCCTTTTCCATGGGGACATTAGAAAGGGTGTTAAATGGGCAGTTGGGATTCCTTGATATTTTGACTGATGACAGAATTCCAAATATCTTCATGGAGGCCCCATTTTTTCCCCATTGACTTTCTTTGTTTTGTAAAGGCATCCAAAGCGGCTTTTATGCACAGAGTTCTATTTGTGTGTCTTAACTTGTTCTGAAGTTTTCTTGCCAAGCAAAAGAGTTTTCCATTATTGCTACGCAAGCCCAAAATATATCTGGAGATGTGAAGCCAATACATTTTTGCTGCCCTTTGCATCCAGACTCCTCCTTGGGCTGCTTTTGGTCTTAGTTCCTACAAAAGTCACATTTCTGTCGTCACGGAGGTGCTTCTCTCCTGCTGCTTCAGTCAAAAGGCTGGATCTCCTCACAGATCCAGTTTCTGCTCTCTTGACATAAGCAGGTTTCTCAGGATGTTTTCAGCTGCGCTCCCTCTTTCAGGCCCAGTTGGTTCAAGAGGACTTGGAGAGGACCAAAGAGGAGCTGAAGTCAGTCACCAGCACTCCGCACGTGCCGGAGCCCATGCAGTCAGAGAATGAGCACGATGATGAGCAGGATGAGAATGCCGCGGAGGCCAGTGCGGAGCTGCGGGCGCACGCCTCGATCAAGGACCGCAGTGAGGAACAGCGCACCACTGAGGCAGAGAAGAACGTGCGGGTTCAGAAGCACTTGAAGGTGAGATGGGCCTCACTCTGCCCAGAGAAGCTGATGGACTACTGTGTTTCCCTGAAAATAAGATCTGGTCTTATTTTCTTTGGGGCTCTGAAATGAGAACTAGGGCTTATTTTCAGGGTAGGTCTTACATTACCAGCGAGCAGTGAGCACGCAGGGGCAGGGTGGGGTCTGTGCATGGGGTGGAAACACAGCGCGGCGGCAATGGGCCAACCTCGAGGCATGGTTGTGGACCAACTATGGTATGGTAAAGGTACCATATGACAGTTTGGGAGAGGGGGCATGTGTGCCCTTTCCGTGCCAGGCCAGCCCCTGCAGCCCTGGGTGGCCATGCTGGGTGGCAGTGGGAAGGGTGCCGAGGCGGCAGCCAGTCTGACGCTCCTCCAGGTGGAGTGGGGGGGTTTTGACCTAGGGATGCTGTGGGGCCATCTTACTGGCCTGGCCTGGCCCATCCGAGAGATGACTGAGGAGGTGGCAGCCCAGGGCCAAAGTGGCAGGTGGAGCGCCAGAGGTCGGGGAGGGAGCAGGCGTCCCGCCGTCAGCGCCCATGCTGGCTGTCCCTTCCCTTCCAAAGCCAGAATCCCGCCGTGTTTACAGTAAGTGCAGGTAGAGGCTGGCCTTCCTTCTGGCGGGCCTGGGAAGCTGCTGCAGAGCAACGGACCCATTTCAGTGCCTGGCGCCCTTAGGGAGTTTGCCTTGGTACCTGCTTTCCAGCTCTGTCGCATTTTTCTGCGGCCGTGGAGCTGGAGAGCTTGCCCCACCACCTCCCAGATGCCCTCACTTCCCTCAAGCATTTCTTTACTTACCTAATTTCCAGCTCCGTCGCGTTCCTCTATCGCATTCCTCCACCGCCATGTGCAGTCCCACAAACAAAAGAAGTTTGTGGGCCAAAAAAAAAGAGTTCAATCATCATTTCCAACTTCGTGAGATCTTTTTTTTTTTTTTTTTGCGAGAAGTTGGATTTGATTGACCTTTTTTTCATAGTCTCACAAACTTCTTTTGTTTGTGGGACTGCACACAGTGGTGGAGGAAATGGAGCTGGAAATCAAGTAAGCAAAGAAATGCTTGGGGGAAGCGAGGGCATCTGGGCAGTGGTGAGGCAAGCTCTCCAGCTTCGTGGCCGCAGAGAAATGCGTCGGAGCTGGAAAGCAGGTCAAAGGGGGGGATCTGCCAAGCCTCATGGCAGCAGCATTGGTGGGCACGTTGTGCCACGAATGGCCAAAACTGGCCATAGAACCAGTGTTGTGGCATGAGAAGCTGCGGCAGGGTACCACAGGTCCCCCCTCCCCCACCAGCTTGCTCCCCCCCCTTCACTTCATGTCTATGGTAGCAACCAAATGGAATCGGCAACCGGCCGGCTGCGCAGACTCTTTCGGGGTAGGGCTTATAATTAGGCTCACCCCCAAAATTCAAGCTAGGGCTTACTTTCAGGGTAGGCCTTGATCAAGGTTGGTAAAATGAGGACCCAGATTGTTGGGGGCCAAAGGCTGACTCTGTAAACTGTAAACTGCTCAGAGAGTGCTATAAAGCACTGTGAAACGTATATAAACCTAAGGCTATTGTCATTCATTCTATTGGCTGCTGAATGTCACCAACATGGCCTTGGGACGGCATAAGAAGCAGCCAGAATTGCCCCACCCACTCTAGGCAGTAAGACTGGCCCAGCCCACCTTCAGAGAGCAGCCTCCACCTGTAGTCCTGGGTCAAGGTTCTCACTCGTAGGGAATCCTCTCATTATCCCTGATCTTATGGGGAGGAGGAAGAAATCTGGGCAGCTGTTTGGGTGGCAGGCAACCTTGTGGGGTCCCTGCTCTGACCTCCAGGCACCTTCAGCCTGAGATCTGTGGGTGTTACCCTAATTTTTCACACCAACATGCCCATTTCTGTCTTGGGCGATGGAAACCGAAGGTCCCCAAACAGAAGGCGGTCTAGGGTAGTGCTTTGCCCACTTGAGGAGGAGTACCAAGTGTGCTCTATTGCCTGAATTAATTCTCCCGACCGCTCTGTTCTAGCAAACAGGGAGGGGGGATGCCGTGTCCCTTGTGACATCCACGCTACCCATCCCCTTGCAGCCAGCCATGTTTATGAGAGCAGAAAACAACTCTTAATCCTGCACTGCAGGGAGATGCAGGGAAAGTGTCAATAAGAAAAAAGCCTTATGCCAAAAGGTAAAAAGAGCCAGTCCCAGGCCAGAAAGAAAGATCTCGGATGCCACGGGTGTCTTGGGTGGCTGACGTTTCCTCCTTCTCCCTTCTTGCCCTGCAGGCTCTCACCTCTGAGTTGGCCAATGCGCGGGATGAAACCAAGAAGACAGCGAATGACATGATTCATGCCGAGAACATGCGGCAGGGCCGTGACAAGTACAAGACACTCCGCCAGATCCGTCAGGGCAACACCAAGCAGCGGATTGATGAATTTGAGTCCATGTAGTCATTCCAGCCTCTGCTGTACCTTCCCCCCCTCCCCTCCTCCCCTCCTCCATGCAAATGTGCGATGCCGGAACCATCCACTACAGGAGAGTGAATAGAACAGCCTCCTGGGCTGATGTTCAAAATAGGACCAAACAGGAAGAAAAAGCAAAAGTCAGTTGTGCCTTATTATTGCAGTTTTCAAGTGGCCTGCCTCTGTTTAGTAGGGGTGATGAGCTTAAGTATCATAATGCTTTTTATTGCTTATAAGAAATATATTAGTGCAGTTGCTGCCGGCACCGCTGAGCTGCCGGTGAGCCGATATCTAACCACGGACCACTTCCCCCTCCTAACTTCCCTTGCTGGGGTCTGGAGGGGCACGGCCTTGCTCTGACCTAATTGAAGTCCCTGCTGAAGTCCCTGTGGTGGTTTTCGCTTGTCAAGGTAGATGCTCTGCTTGGGAAGAGGAGATTGTGGAGAAGGGAAGGAAGCACCGAAGGACGATGGCCAACCTGCCTTCTCCCTTCTTGGTGCCATAGAGCAAAACGCTGAGCAGACCAAGCCAATCCCTCTGGTCTCCTTAAATTTCTCCAAGTGCTCCTTACTGAGACTGTTGGACAAAATTGGATGCTCCTTCCCTTCTTCCCATCTTCTGAGTAGACTTGCTACAGAACTGTTGTCTTCCCAAAAGGAAAAAAAGATTGACCATGGAGCAGTTGCCATTCATTTTGCCAACCTTGTCAAAACATTTCAGAGAGGTTGTGAGTCAGCCGGAAATCTCAAATGGCGAGACTGCAAACTGCACCACTCAGCCTTTTAGGTCATGCCTCCCATGTGTGTGTGCCCACGGACATGCATGATGGTGCCTTAATGACACTCTCTAGTTGTGTAACATTTTACAAAAGTCTTCTTAGTTCCAGTAATGCAAAACCAAAAATACTTTCCACAAAGATGTATTTTGTGTGTTAATCTCCATGTTGCCGGCCATTCTACCGTTAGGAAGGTTAGGTTTTGTTTTGACAGGGTGCCCTTTCTGCTCCTTTGGAAGGGTGTCCTCTCCTCATTTCCAGATCCTGTCCCTCAGAGGGCCTCCAGGTCTTTGGCTCTAGACAAAAACGGGTGGTTGGACTTACAGGTCTCTCTCAGTGGTTGGGTTGCTTGGCGGTTTTCCAGTTAACCTTTGAAAGGGGCCCCCTTTTCGAGTTTCCCCCGGGGTGCCTGTCTTGGGACTCTTCCCATGGATGTGGAAGGGTCAGAGGTGAGTCCATAGTATTCCGTCTCCTTTCCCAAACTTCATTATAAATGGCTTCCCCTGCAGGAAAGCCCCCCCCCGCCCCCCTTTGCTTAGCACCCTTCAAGATTTTTGCTACACATTTGGCCTTTTTCTGCCTTCCACACACACACAAATACACACGCACCAATCCCAGCTTGCATTTATCCCAAAAGTATTATTCTGAAACAGCACCACAGCTCTAAAAGCAAATTGTACTGGGTGTAAGGTTGGCCAAACTCAACTCCACTAAGGGTGGTGAGAAGGAGTTGCTGCACAACTGTCCCAGAGCACCACCTCAGCCCCAGGGCCTTGAGGCTGTGCCCGGAGACCTGCGCCTTTGCAGCCAGAGGCGCCACAGTGTAAGCAGCCCAACTTTTCCAGAGAAAGACCCTGCAGATTGCCCTTCTCCTCCCTTCCTCTTCCTCCCCTTCCTTCTTCCGATTCTATGTGCCTTTGGGAAGGGACGGATGAGAGGATGTGGACAATCATCTTCTCCCCTAACTCCCCCTGAAACACACCATGCCATGGCTTTGAACCATTTCCTAAAGATTACTCATTGGGATGATTTCCGAAGAGTTTCTCTGATTCACCATTAAAACGTGTGGTGCTGACTCTGCTTCTGGGCCTTCCTGTAAACTCTGCCTAAGCTTGCCAGGGGCCTACTTGGATTTCCTTTCTTTGGCCCTGAAAAAATGCCTTCCAGATGGTTTCTCCCAGGACCCAGGCGCTGTGGGGCTGCCAATGCCGGGTGCTTCCAGGGTAGGCAGTGGCCCGCCGGGGGTCGTGAGTTTGCCTCCTCGGTAGTTGGTTCAGCTCTTCCCTGATCTTAACCAGTATTATGTGCTCCAGTGACAATGGTATTGATTTCATGCTCTTTTCTAGCTATGCATGATTAGAAAATATTAATCTCAGAAGTGTTGAGGGGAAGTAACTTTGTTCTCCCTTCTTCATAGAAAAGATATACTGTGTTGTAAAGAGATGATATTTTGCAGAAATTAATGTAAGATGCATTCAGTATTACAATGAGATTTTTAGATTTTTTTTTAATTATTGGGTTAGAAAACATGGAGGTTTTTTTCTCCCTCTCTGCTCCCCCATTTGTTTACTGCTACACCTGGATATGTGCTATCCTTCTGGGGGAGGGAGTTTGCCTCATTAATCATCTTTTTTTTGTCTGGCTTTGTATTTGTGTTATGGCATTTTTGCTGTAAATTATGTCTTCTTTTTTGACTATCCTTTTTACATGTAACGTCGACACACCAGCCTTCTCAGGGGAGGGCCTGCAAGGCAGCCTGTGGGGGGAAGCGGGGACCTCCTGCCCCCCACCGCAATTGCTGCGGTCCGAGGTGTTTGACTCGATCCCCCCTCCCTCCTCTTTGCATCAGTGCCAATAAAGTTTAGACCAAGGCAGCTGCCGCTGGCTTCCTCTGGCCTCTTCTTTTCTTAGCCGGGACTTCCCAACCGGCCCCCTGCTGGAGGGGGCATCATGCAGCCGCTGGGTGTAACGCTGGAGGGATTTTTCCAGAAGGGGGGGCAGGGGCCTGGCACGCACCTTCTCCAGCAGCTTTTGCTGTGTCTGCTCCAGGAGGCTGTTGAGCAGCATCTCTGCTGGAGGGGCAGCCTTGGGTTACCCAAACGCCAGAGGGAACTTTGCAGACAGAAGCCTCTTCAGAGAATCCGAACATACCACGATTCCACTCAGCCACGTGATCCCATCCCCCCAACGCTCCCTCCCTATTATGTGGCAGGACACGGAAGGCGCCCGGTTCTCCAGCTGCTCCCCCCAGCTCCCTTGCAGATCAGCAGGAGGCGAGCAAAGTGCCCCAGCTCCTCCTGTTCTCCAGGCAGGGTGGGGGCGGGGGTAGCAGCAGCTGTGCAGTGAATGCTCACCATTTGGGTGGGACTGGTGAGAGTGACCCCAACATCCAGTCTCAAGTGGGGGCTTGGAGTTATACTTGGGGAGATAGCCACACCTTCACCTGAGCTTGGCTAGAGTTGCAGCCCAGATAGTAAACCTCAGGAAAGTGAATTGTGCATTATATGACCATCCCATCTTAGATAGTGAACATACCTAATATTTTGTTCCTTTTCCTACTTTCCTCACAACCACAAGCCTGTGAGGTGGGTTGGGCTGAGAGAGAGTGATTAGCCCAAAGTCATCAAGCCAGCTTTCATGCCTGAGGCAGGACTAGAACTCACCGTCTCCTGGTGATTGGCCCAAGGTCACTTAACTGACTTTCAGGCGGGAGAAGAATTCACAGCTCCTGGTTTCTAGGCCAGCACCTTAAGCGCTAGGCCAAACAGGCTCTATAGTTTTCATTGATTAGAGCTAGGCAAGTTGTAATTGAAGGGGGCCACAAAAACTTTGGAGAAGTGCCAGGGGCATGGTGGGTGGGCCTCTATCCTGCATGAGGACTTTCTTCCCCAGTTGGAAGTAATTTTGTTTCTTTTCCAGTTTCTGAGCTCACATTTCCTCGCCTTCCAAAATGGCCAGTAAAAATTGCAGGCCTGGAGATCAAAGGAGAGGGGCCTTGGGTGGGGCTGTGCATTGCTTGCCTTCCCACCAGTTCCAATTGGGTCCATCAGAGGTTCGTCATCAAACTGGACTTGGGTCTCAAGTGGATGCACCAGAATCAGCCTTGAGCCCTTTATTCTTCAATATTTGTAATGATTCAGATTAGAGGTGGCAGGATGCTTAACCAATTTGCAAATGAAATGAATGAGGAATAGCTAAGAGACAAGAAGCAAAGAAACAGTTAGAATGGTCTTTATAGGCTGGAGAACAGAGCTACAAGTAACCATGGCTTGGAAAATAGATAGATGCAAAATGTAATAGAAACCAAATGCATTGCAGTAGGATGTGACATACCAGATTTAGTAATTGCACTTGGAAAAAATCGTGTAGTAATTGCCTGTGGACAGAATGAACCAACAACATGATGGGCTGCAAAAAAGGCAGATGCAACTTTAGGGTTCATCCAAAAGTTTCCAAATAAGACAAAATCTGGCTGCATTAAAAAAGATTATGCTTCAGATTCAGAGAAAAGTTACAGAGATTTGTTAGATTAGAAAGTAGGAAAAAGGCCAGCAAAAATTCTGTAAGGGAAAAGCTAAGGAAAATGGTACATTTAATGTTGAGAAAAGAGGACCATAGGCCCAGCTTTTCAAGAACAGGAAATTCTTGAAAATGGTGCCACTAGAGGGCGCTCTAAAATTTGATGTGGGCGTTTTTTATACAGGTCTGTACAAATCAAACTTCTTTGTAGGCGATTTGCCTACAAAGCACTATTGAACTGTCCGATGCGTTTTGCAGATTCCTTCCCCTCATATGGAGTACACATTCTTCAGGCAAAATTCCACATTTATGCTACCAGCCTGTTTCTTTTTCTATGCTTTCATGCTCCATAAGGTAGTCATGTGTTTTTTTTTGTTTCAATGCTTTTTCTTTAAAAATAAAAGCGATACCCCCATGTAGAAGATCAACAGAAAAGTTAATTCAAGATTTCCAATCAAGCCAACCCATGTAGGTGAAGGACTGGCAAAAAGTGTTGGAGTTGGATAAGGATTACGTTGGTTACTGAAGGAGATTCAGAAGACCAAGTGCTCTTTATCCTAAGCAAAACACACCAACTCATCTCCTTTTCCTGGTTCTATAAGGCAGATGCCAGACTTACATTACAGGCAGGGTCCCAGTTAAGTGGGAATATTGGCAAAATCCATGTAAAATGTTCCCAACATTTTCTAGTCCAATATCTGCCTTAGCAGTTCTCATTATTTACATTGC